GGACAGAGGCAGGGCCGGCTCTGCTCGGAGCCCAGGTTGGGGCGCTGGGGGCAGGCAGTTTGTGGAGTCCCTTCTGAGGCGCAGGCAGCACTTGTCAAAGTGGGGAGGTCAAAGTGGGGAGGAGTGGTGTCATTGTCGTCGTAGTCCCCAGCGGAGGCAAATGGAGCTACCACCCCCTATCCGTGTGACCCGGCAGGGGAGGATTGTTGGTAAAAAAGAAAGTAAAAACAAATGCCGCGCAGATCCCGTTACCCACATCATTAGCTTGGGAGAGACTCGCAAACATGCCAATGCCAGTCACAGCAACATCTGCTTCTAACCGCTTCCCCAGCGTTTCAGGGCCTGTCAGCCGGCGTCTGCCCTCTGAGAAGATGCGGTATTTTTAACAAGCTCTTAAATCAGAAGGCATCCACGGGGAGTGATTTCTTACATGTTCAGTCTTGGAGGCTAAAAACAGTGCGTGCACCTTCAGGGACGGCCGTCAGGAGGGCCCGGGGGACCAGGTGGCCCCACTTCAAATGCCTCAGCTAAGAGTTTCTGATTCACACCAGCGTTCAAATGTTTTCTTTCACTTTTTATGCATTCACACCCTAAACATATAAAGTGTTCTGGTGTGTTGTTGTTGTTTTTAATTCCACTATGTCCACTTCTTCCCGGGTAATTTTCCTCTCTTCTCCAACATCAGAATGTACCTGGGTGGCCTCTGCTGCCAGGAGCGCTCACCTTCCATCTCCCCATGAGGTGCCCCTATCAGTTTCCCTTAAGACACGAACAGGAAGGGCCCCCTGGACGCCTGCCCCGGACCCCGGCGACTTCCAACTCAGACTGCGCAGCTGCAGAACCCAAGGGCTCGGAGACCCCGAGGCCACTGCTGCAGAAACGTAGGGGCGTGGCCCCACCCGGCCCCAAACAGACCACACTGATCTCTGCACCCTCTTCCCGGAGCCAGCGTCAGTGCACGCAGCGCAGGGTGTCGGGCTGCTGTGAGACGGAGGCACCTTCAGGGGCTTCTCAGACCTGACCTGGGCTCCGAAACCAGGGAGCCCAGAGCGGCCACACCAGAGCTTTCTGCCTGCCCCACTTTCCATCTCCTCCACCCTCCAGCCGCCCACAGCCCTCCCGCAGCTCTGCTCAGAAACCTCCATGGCTCCCACCGTGGACCCAAAGCACAGCACTGAAAGCCTCTGCCCAGGCAGAGCCAGGCTGGCCAGTTGTCCCGCACACCTCACTCTCCCGCCTCCCAAGGCCCGCGCTCTGTGACCGCTGTCCTCTTCCATCGCTCTCCTCCCTGAGAACCTGCACATGCCTAGCACTGTTCTAAAAGTCAGATGTGCGCCGCACACAAAACTCCTGCCTCTGAGCGCTTATATTTGAGTGGAGGGAGATGAGCAAATAAACCAACGTGAAGAATGCCCAGTAAACTGGGCACAGTGCTACACACCTGTAATCCTAGAACTCTGGGAGGATGAAGCAGGAGGATCACAAATTCAAGCCCAGCCTGGGCAACTCAGTAACTTGCTGAAATCCCGCCTTGAAATAAAAAATGTGAGATATACCCCCAGTATGGAAAAAAAATCACAGTATACCAGATAAAAGCTACAGAGAGAAACAATGTAGCAAAGGGGACTAATGAATGCCAAGGAGTGGTGGGTATGAATGGCCTCACCAAAATGGGGTATCTGAGCAACATCCTGTAGAAGGGAGGAAGGTAACTCTGCAGAGAAAATTGGGAAAAGAGTTCTTCAGGTAGAAGGAGCAACAAGTGCAAAGGCCCTGTGGCAGGAATGTTTGGGACTAATCCAGGAAAGGCAGGCAGGCTAGCAGAACTAGAGAGGAGAAGAAGGGGGACACGGAGGTCATTTAGGCCTTGCGGGCCATTGTAAGGATGCAGGCTCTTACTGCGATTGAGATGGGAACCTGGATCACTAACAATCTAACTGGGGCTCCAACAGACCACTCTGGCTACTGTAAGGGGCTGGGGGACAAGAGAGACCAGAGAGGAAACTACAGCAGCCACCTCAGCCAGAGACTACCAACAGCCTAGGCCACAGCTCCAGCAGAGGGTGTGGGGGGAAGTGGTCAGGACCTCGGGGTCTGGCTGACGGGGACAGCACAGCGTGGGGTGCGGCAGGCAGAGGGCAGAGGCAGTGGGGACGCGGATGCTTTGTACCTGAACAGGAGAGGGGCAGCTGTCTTAAATGGTACAGTGGCGCAAGCAGCAGGTGGCAGCCCAGGGTGCGATGGAAATCCGAACAGCTCTGACCCCTAAAGAGGCAGGCTGTACCCGAAAGCCCTCAGGCCCCTCACACGCGTGCACACAGAGCCCTTCCATGCACCAGGCCTCCGCGTCCACGCGTCACCTCCCTGAGGCTGACCCCCTTCACACCCTCAGAAAGTCCTGGTGCAGCGGCGAGCAACAGCAATGTATGGCACCTATGATGTTTCCATGGCTCGACAATCCAAGAATGTTCTTTCAAAACACCCAGGAATACGCTAGGAGGGTAGTTATTACCTTGCCGGTCCTGATGTCCCAAGCCTTGATTTCGGAGCTGAAACCGCCACATAAAAAAATGTTGTGGTCTTTCGGATAAAATTTCAAGGTAGTGATTCTGAATTCACTTCGACCACTGAACAGCTGGGTTCCTAGAACACCAACAGAGAAGAGGGAGTTAGAAAATGTTTAGATCACAAAATAAATACCATAAAACTAAGATGTCACTTGATATGGAGCCCGTGGGCCAACAGCGTTCCCCAGGCTGGATCAGACTTCTGGAACATTCCCCCCCTTCCTCAGGACCACACTGAAGCCTGGATCATGTTTCCCACAAGTGTTATGGTTTTAGCTCATTCAGGCCACAGGAGACCCTAAGCCCACTTGCCAGCCAAGACCAGGGCCTGGTAACATCCACACAGCAGGCTGCGTGCCTGGAGTCTGACCCTGCCCTAAGGAGTGGCACTCAACATCGCCCATCTACAGCCGTGCCACCTAATAACACACATGCTGTGCCACAAAGCCAGTGGCAGGAGTGTTTGCCACTGTGGGTGACAGTGAGGGGCCCTCACAGCAGCCAGAGCCACAGAAGGATACCAGGTTGAACTGCTGGGGACTCACGTGGCCCCCCGGAGATGGGACAGCAGCCCCGGTCCAGCACAACTGTCATGAGCTGTCACTGAGTACTCGCGGCATTGTGGTGTTTATAAGCACGTACACACACAAGGTGTGGGGAACAGCCTCAGAAAGGTCGTCGGAGCTCTTCCTGCTCCCTGCAGCTCCGACCTTGCTTTTCCCTTCTCACACCAAAGCCTGGGGATTCTCTCACAGAGAGCCCTGTGCCACCCAGGGGCTGTCCCCCGGGGCTGGACGGACACCAGCCACGGGAGAAGGCTTCTCTCCTGGATGGCACCAGGGCTGCCATAGCCCGGCAAGCAAATCCTGGACGGCCTCCAGCCTCAGGGAGTCTTCCTGGGATGGGGCAGTGGCAGGCCCGGAACACAAGAAGCCAGTGGCCAAGAAGGAGATGCGATGAGATGCCAAGGCCTCTGGATCGTGTACCTCCGTGGGCTCTGGGAAGCAGTGTCTGTTACCCCACTTTGTGACCGTGACCCACACACACTGAGTACAAGCCTGGCAGCTCCCTGGGAAAAGAAATGAAAGTCATCCATCAGTGCCCACAATGGTCACAGAGGTGACACTGGAGACCCAGCCTTTCCACAGCTGAAGTCTCACATCTGCCTGGTCACCCCGCCAGGCAGCGCATCCAGCCGCCGCTGCCACAGGGCCACTCACCGCGCAAGTCTCAGAATGTGCACATCTAAAAGACACCCAAACAGAACAACTGATGGCAAGAGCAAAACAACGAATAATTTAAACTATTTTCCTGTGCTGCTCACAAGGATGGTACTGAGAATCAGCTGATTTCTTTGAAACCATTACAGTGAAGGGTTATGATAGTTTTAGAGAGAACAACAGAGCTGAATATACTTTCACTGGTTTAAACTTTCTGCATCTCAGGAATCTGAGAGCAATCTGGTGGTTGCCTCAGTTTCCCCACCGAATCGTGGACCAGTGGAGCAAGGTGCTCCCCGCAGCCAAGGGCTCACTTCCACCTCCACCTGCCGGGGCGAGGGCTTGGAGAACCTTTTCCCAGGGAAGCTCTTTCCCCCGCAGTGATGCTACAGCTTCTGGTATCAATCAGAGGCATCACTCTCTCATCTCCTGTTCTTAACCACCCAGCTCAAAATCCACAGCAATTTTCATAAAAGGATTTTTAAAAGCTTCAAAAAACACTGATCCCAAATTAAGGGCGTAGGTATTCATGATAGATTTTTAACAAGTGACACTCTTAACAACCTTTTTTTGTTTTTTTTTTTGGCAACAAAAAAAAATCAAAACAATAGAAATGATTACAATGATCTGTTTTCTGTGGGCCACTGAGAGGCTCCGTGGGAGAAGTTGAGCTTGCCGCACCCGAGCTCCTGGGTCCCATCCCCAGCGCCAAAAGAAAGAAATCTGCTTTCAAGATGTTCCCCCTGTAGTACACGCTTTTTGGAAAGCAGCTACTCTTACCCTTTGTTAAAGTGTCACTCTCACCCTGACGATTGGTTAAGTGTGTTGGTGTTTTCTTCCCCAATATCATCTAGGGACGTACAACTGGCAGTCACTTTGTCATCAGAGAAAACTTTGGAAACAGTTGACTTTTTTTGTAAAGGAAAAATCTCTCCCTCCCTAAACTGCACAAGGCTCTCAACTACTTTGCTTCAAGGTGCGGGTGGCACAAAAGGAGGCCACGGGCGCCCTGCATAGTCGGGCGCAGATCCCTCCATGTCACGCAGTCCCGGGGCAGAGGCCGCCACGCAGAGACGCGGGTACAGCAGACGCGGCCCTCTGCCTGATGGGACACTGCAGGGACTCAAAACTGGGGTCACGGGCCGGGGCTTCAGCGACCTTTGGGCTGGAACTGGGGCAGCTGTGAACAGGGCTCCATGTGGACAAAGCCTGGACCCACACACATCCCTGCGGACCCCAGCAGATCTCAGGACACTCAACGAAGCCAAGTGCCGGGGTCCTGCATGAGGCAGTGGACGGTGACCATGAACCTCTCCAAGGAGGAGAAGGGTACCCTGCCACTGCACCCCACAGCAGCGAAGGGGCCCAGCAGGGCCACAGGCATTGTGCAAACAACTTGCACCCACTGCTGCTGGCGCTCAGGGGTCGGCCCCCTGCCAGCCCTCAGACCAGAAGGAAAGAAACTCAGCCCGTCTGGAGAAAATGTTTCCCTTGTTTCCTGGGCCGGAGCGTATAACCATATGCTTAACTTCAGAGACGGCAGTGAGTTCTTATATGTTTTTTCAAAAAGTGCAATGACACAACCTTGCCAACGAGGGGGAAGAAGATGAGAAGAAAAATTGGGTTGCTAAAAGATCATGATTGAAATTCTTCTGTTTAAAAGAAAATTGTATTCCTGAATGTTATGTTTCCTCAACTCCCAAAGAGACTGAGAATCTGTCTTTTAACTATGAAAATTTTCCATTTAGAAGACAAGCTGTAGTATTTTTTTTCCTACTTTTAATAATTGGGTCTTTACTATTTTTCTGTGCTAACAGGGCACAAAAGCAAAAGATTTTTTAAATGTTTTAAGAAGCTGCCGGGTATCTCGTGTGAAACACCAGGGCAGATTTCGGCTAAGTAAAGAGGTCTCTAACAAGGCTCCAGTTTAGAAATCTTGAGCACAGCTCTCCTCACAGGCAGGTGTGGCAGCTGAGGAGTGAGAGCCACAAGGACCCAGGACCCAGCCCAGCACTGTGCTTCCAGGGGAGGGCCCTGGGGCCAGTCCCTGCCCGCTGCGGCTGGCTGTGGACATTGGAAGCTAAGCGGCTCAGAAAGCACTCTATGGGGCTGGGGAATTTAGCTCTGTGGTTCCAGTGCCTGCCTCACAAGCGCAAGGGCCCAAGTTCAATCCCCGGAACGGGGGAAAAAAAAAGCATTTTGTGGAGCGATCAACAGAGCAGAGTTGTTAGAGTTTGAAAAATTAACCCCAACTTATTGAATTCATCCTTGGTTAAATTAAAAGCAAAAACCAAAGCATAGCCTTTTTAACAGCAGGAACCCGGAGGGACTAATGACCGCTGGGCCCCCGTGGGGGCTCTGGACACAGGATGCTCCCGCCCGCCTCTGTGGTTGCGGAAGGTCAAAGCTGAACACTCGACTGCAAGCGTGGGCCACAGGGGCAGCGAAGGTCTCTCCGGAGAGCTGATGCTGCCGCCTCCCTCCATTGCGCCCACACCTCGGTATCGTGGGCAGGGGCTGTCACAGAACCTTTAACCTTGCTACTGTCTCGCTTGTTTGTCTGTTAGCTACAGGAAATTCTGTTTATTTGCTGTATGCTTATTACAGGAAATTGAGCTTAAAAACATTTCATCCTCTGGAACTGGCTTTATTGATCTCATTATAATGAGCTCAACCAATATAAAGACCGTTTGGATCTTCTTGGAGTTCAGAAAAATTACATCTTTTCCTCCTTGAATCAATGATCCAGCACAGGATAAATTATCAGACGGGGGTGTGGCTCTGTGGTAGAGCATTTGCATAGCATCTGTGAGGCCCTGAGATCCATCCCCAGCCTCACAAAGTACCACAAAAATGTGCTTAAAATGCAATGCAGAAATCCAATGTTTTCCCGAGACCCTCATTCCTGCCAATGCTCCATCCCCAGGCCCCTTATCCCTTCTTCCTCTCTCCCGAGGCCCCGAGTAAGCTGGGGCAGCACCATCCGCCCTGGGGGAACTTCCTTCCGCTCAGCCTGTCTGGCCCTGGCCCAGGCCCAGGTCCTAACACAGAACTGGTATTCCAGGTCAGTCAAAACCCAAGTGCAGGGCCAGGGATTAGCTCAGTGGCATGGGCACCTGCTGGTAAGTGCGAGGTCCTAAATTCAATCCTGGTACAAAAAACAAAAAAACCCAAGTGCAGGGCCCCAGGAAAGAGGGGGCTTTCACATCCTGCTCACCTTGGCTAATGACTCAGTTCCTGTCTGCCGCTTGCATGTGTCACCCTGGAGCCCCAGGGGTGGGGGACACAAACCCACCCCTCACAGCTGGGGAACCGGAAGCCAGCCGTGTGAGGTAGCGCAGGGATGGACCCACACACCCCAATGCAGAACCCTCTGCGCCCCCCACCTCCACACCCGCCAGTTAGCGGTGACCATTTCCTCTCCTCAGCTCTCTGTGCACAACACGGAGAAAATGTTGACAAGGGAAAGCTTATGCTGCCAGCTCACGGTAATTGAGCCTGTGTTCCCAGGCAGTAGGTATATGACTCATTTCGCTAAAATCAATATCATTACACTCATCCTCCGGGAAGTATTCAGCCAGCTGTAAATTTAACCATCCTGACTCGAAGTTAACGAGGAAAAAAAAAAGCTTTTACTAACTTCCAAATCAAACTCCGCGCATCAGAAACCAGGGCCGTCCTGGCAGGCGTGCAGGGGGCCTGGAAGGTGTGGGCCAGGACCAGGAGCCACGGGCCGTCCCAGAGCCTGGATCCACACCGCAGTCAGGATCAGCAGCCCCTCAAAGTGGCTGTGAGACTGAGACATAAAGCACAGAAGAGGAACCAGCTGGAAGGCAGGGGCGGTCACCAGAGCCCA